CAGCAGGGTCACCCATGGTGGAACACATTTCAGTGGAGTGTCCAGACTAAGAGAGACAAAGAAGAAAGGCCTGGCAATCTACATCTGAAAATCATCCAGTGATGAACCCTGTTAATCACAACAGAACAGTGTCTGATAGAGTGCTGGAAGCTACGGCATCCGTATTTCAAATACCAGCAAGGTCACCCACGGTGTAATGGATTTCAGTGGAGCTTCCAGACTAAGAGAGACAAGGAAGAAAGGACTGGTGATCTACCTCTGAAAATCAGTCAATGATAAGCATTGTGGATGGATCACAACAGAACATTGTCTGATAGAGGGCTGGAAACAATGATGCCAGTATTTCAAACACCAGCAAGTTCACCCATGGTGGACAGGTTTCAGAGGGAACTTCTAGACAGAGAGTAGGAAGAAAGCCCTGGGGATCTGCTTTTGAAAACCAGCCAATTAAAACCCAAAGGATCACAACAGAATTGATACAAGGCTATAAGACATCCCAGCAAGATTTTGCATACAGCAGAGTCATCTGTGGTGGGCAGAGTTCAACAGAGCTTTCAGACTAAGAGAGAATAGGAAGACAAGACTGGCGATATTCTGAAAATCAGCCAGTGAAAACCCTGTGGAGAAAACCAGAACATCATCCGATATTGTGCTGGATGGATCCTTGGGTGGAACAGACTATGAAGCACACCACTATTAGCTGAAAGGTCGGTGGTTGCAACCTATCCAGAGGTATCTTGGAAGAAAGTCCTGGAGATCTGCTTCTGAAAGTCACAGCCTTGAAAACCCTGTGGAGCAAAGTTCTTCTCTGACACACACCGGGTGTATGTGTGTGTGTGTGTGTGTGTGTGTGTGTGTGTGTGTGTGTGTCGTGAGTCAGAGTCACCTCGACAGCAACTCATCACAACACTAAACCTAGGAAGAAAGGCCTGGTGGTGTATTCCGGAAAATCAGCCCACGATAAAGAGCACTGTGGATGAGAACAGAACATTGCCCGATGCACAGTCTTTGGAGAGACCCTCAGGAGGGGTCCATCTCTGGAGGAGGACGCCGGGTTTGTTGAAGTAGGGGGGCCAGTGTGAGCAAGGGTGACCCTCGGTGAGATGGTTTGGCACGGTGGCCGCCCCGATGGAACTGAATGTACGAGGGATCGTGAGGGTGGAGCAGAACCGGGGTTCATCGCCTTCTGTTGTGCATGGGGTTACCATGAGTCGGGGCCGTGGTGACGGCACCTCACCATCAACCCCAGATGTGCGGAAGCTGAAACTGTCACAAAAATCCATTTACACGCGTGTGTGAAGCTCAGAGAGGAGCAAGGAGTCTTATGTCAAACACGAAGGCAGGGAAGGGGACTGATTTCACTCCGGGCATGTGTGCTGTGACCTACTTACCACAGGGTGGAGCAGACACGCGGATGGAGGGGCTGGGGACCCCACAAAAGCCAAGGTCCAACCATATCAGAAGCCCCTTTGTCTTCCCTCCACCCCAGCCCCCTTAGTTTCGTAATTTGTTAATTCTGCATAATGATAAATCTCTCATAAAGCTGTTCTGCAATTTACCAACATAATCTATGGTGAAGCAGCTCCCAACTGTAAAGATCCTATAATTATGTCATTATACCACATTCATGCCTTCCTGTATATAGCACGCGGTTCCAACCAGCGCCCGGAAATTCTACTCTGTGTTCTGTTGACTTCTCTTTGCATTTCTTCCTTTTTTTCCCCCCCTTCCTTCATGCTCTTGCGTTCAACCATGTACCCACACATAGCCCATCTTCTATCAACCCCAGGGTGGGAGAGGGGGTACCTTAAAAGGATCCCTTCTTGACCCAAACAGCCAGTGGGGCAGCAGTTTGGTAACCGTGGGTGTACTGATGAATTAAAGTTGAATGGTCGCTTGGCATCTAGGTCCTGAGATGCTCAGAGTGACTTCCAAACAGCCATCCTACAGCAGAGCAGAACTGCCCCATCGAGTATCCACAACTGCCACCTTCATGTAAGAAGCCCAGGTGGTGTTGCGTGTTAAGCGCTGAGCTGCTAACTACAAGGTTAGAGGTTCAAATCCACTAGCCAGTTCAAGGAAGAACGATGAGGTTGTCTACTCCCATGAAGACCGACAGACGGCCTCACAAACCCTATATAGGGTGGTTATGAGTTGGAATTCAGTTGATGGCAGCGAGTTCGTGTGGTTGGTTAGCTTATCTTTACATTAAGTTGGCTCTGTAGGATAAGCACTAGACTGCAAATCACTAAGTTAGCAGTTCGAACCTATCAGTCGCTATGAGGTAGAAAGGTGAGGCTTTCTGCTCCCGCAAAGATTTAAAGCCTTGGAGAGCCTATAGGAGGTCGCTCTGTGAGTCAGAACCCATTCGAGGGTACCTTACAACCACCAGAACAACAGTCTTCAAAGAAGCAGATTGTAACATCTTTCTCCCTGTTGCTTGTTGTTAAGTGCCGTCGAGTCGGTTCTGACCCGTAGCGACCCTGTATAGGGTTTCTGAGAAGCCGCTGGTGAGCTTGAACCGCCGACCTTGCAGTTCAAACGGCTTTGCATTGTGACGCATTAACCCACAGCGTCACACCCGGACTCCATCTTTCTCCCTGGGTGGGTTCAAATCATTAGTCTCTTGCTTCGCAGATGTATGCTTCACCCCAATGCAAACAGAAACCCAGTCTATTTCTCTCATGTCGATTCTGACTTGTAACAGCCTTCGGGGACCTAGTAGATATGCCCCATTGTGGTTTCAAGACTTTAAATCTTTATGAGAACAGACTGCACGATCTTAATCCCAAGGACGGGCTGATGGGTTTGAACCTTTTGTATTCCATTTAAGCATTTACAGAAAGTCCACTATGGCAACAACATTCTTCCTTAACATATAAACTTAAAAGCTTAGATGCTTAACTTTCAGAATCACAGAAACACCCAAGCCACCACAGTTTGACAAACTCGCAGATGCAGGGAGGGTGAGAGAAAACGAAGACCCCGGACAAGATAGATTGGCCCAGTCGCCGCAACCGTGGGTTCAACCACAGAAACCACCATGCGGGCGATGCACCACCGGGCAGAACTACGTTCTGTTGTGCATCAGGTCAGTATGAGCTACAACCGACTTGACGACACCTAACAACAACAAAGAAGTTCTGAGAGCATCCCAGGAGGACGGGGGCAGCATTTTCCTTGGAAACGTTAAGACAGAATTAAGGGCAGCACAGTGAAGATTGGCTGAGAAGAGAAAAGCCAGCGGGAACCGCCCACGCGTACCAACGCTAAGACTGGATCAGACAGACAATTATCTGAGGAGAAAACCATCAAAAAGTGGCAGACACCTCAGCGATGCACCAAACCTGAACAGAGAAGCTGAAAGCTGACTTAGAATCAGTCTTCCGGAAATTCTTCCAGCCCCGGAGGGTTTTCAAAAGAAAATCCTTCTCGGTTTTCAAAAACAACCAGGTCTGTGATATTTAGACCATTTAAAAACAGCAGATAGGGAAAAGACAAAACAGAAAAGCTTCCCAATTCTTTGTTCCTTCTGTTTCATGTTTTCACAAATGATCAAAACGTTAGCAATCAGACCTAACGAGCATGGTATATAGGAAGGACAAGCCCAGCCTTCCCCCACTGCCCTGATATGTAGTAACACAAAGTCCTCAATAAAATGACTGGGAAATCAAGGCCAATTACAGAGCGATGCACTGAAGACGGTCATACGACAATCAATCTAACGTCTGATGGAACCTAGCGGTACCTCAGAAGAAAGTCCTGGCAATCTCCTGAAAAATTATCCATCGAAAAACGCATGGCGCTCAGTTCTCTTCTGATTCATACAGGGAGCCACGACACGGAGTCTACTCTCTATCTGTTTGGGTGTTTCTTTTTCAGTACCATCCTTGTACCAATGGTAAACATGCCTAGATACTACATAAAAGATTGGAGGTTAGAGTCGATCTAGAGGTACCTTAGAAAAAATGCCAGGAGATCTATTTCTAAAAACCATCCACTGAGAACCCTGTGGGCACAGTTCTACTCTGACACACACGGGGCACAATGAGTGGGATCTACTTATGAAAAAGCATCCACTGAAAACCCTGTGGGGCACAGTTCTACTGTGACACACATGAGGCACCATGAGTGGGATCTACTTATGAAAAATCATCCACTGAGAACCCTGTGGGGCACAGTTCTACTCTGACACACACA